AAGAAATTGACTTTGAATTGTTAAAATATTTCTAAATTTGCACCAATATTTTGAGGGCACAATTCAAATTAAAAGAAGTTCTGTTTGAATTGTTAAAATATTTCTAAGTTGGAATTGCATTTCTTTTGGAGGGCCCAAACAATTCAGTTCAAAAGATATCTTTGAAGTTTTATAAAGGAAGTAGTAAGATTTTCTACTTTCGAAAAATCTGTGGGGTTCTCCTATTTTCAGTGGAGTTTGCAATTCAAAACTTTATAGTTTGGCATGAATTTGGTCACTACATATGTAACCACTTTAGTATTCTATCACACGTTGCATATGTAACCATAGTATATTCAACCACACGTTGTGCTGCCAACGTGAAGAAAGAATTTAGGACCGCGCTGCCAAATGGGAAGAAAGAATATAGGATTTGAAAAGTGATGACAATACTTTCACATCAAAAACACATGTCGTGTAAAAATAGGTCCACAGAGCCGATTTGCAGGCTAAGCTGTACGGTTGATGGTTTCTGCGACTGATAAGCTAGCTGAAGCTAATTTGTTGTGAGAGAAAAACATGGTTCTATGGCTGATAGACTGGTAAATTCAAGCGAACAGAGACACTACACCGGTTCGTTGTAACGAGACTACCTAAACTACACCGGTTCGTTGTAACGAGACTACCTAAACTGCGCTAGACTACTGGTGTACACCGTTGACTTTGTCATCGGATCCATCTCCATTGCTTCAAAAGGCATAGAATTGCTCTGCTTTGTGTGGCAACGTTTGAACAAATCATGAAACCTGCATCACAAAATAGTCTATATGGAACGTGACTTAAAATTTGTCCCCTTACTGGCTAAAGCATAATAAGCCTGTTCACCGGTTGGTTTCTGGGCTGATAAGCTTCACTGTTGCTGGTTTGTTGTGAGAGAAAAACACTGTTGGCTGGCTGATAAGCTCTGACTGAAACCAATAAGTGAGCGACTAGAATATATCATCAATTAAGCCATTTGGCTGTCCCCCCAAATTTTGAGGTGCTCGAGTGGGATCATTCTGTAGGGCCGTTCAAAAATTTAGTCTGTTTTGTACTTTCAGATACCCTGCCTAGTCTATTTTCTAGTTGCTATACAATTCTTAAAAAATTTGTGTACCAAACAGACCCTTGTCTTCATTACCTTTTTTTATTCGAAATTTCTATAAGTATCAGACTATCATGATCCACACATGGTCTCACTTGGATCCTAGGGTCCAGAACTCCAGACTCCAGATCAACCTGTTGTTTGGTGATTAGAAGAAATCTCAACTCAGTTTTCCTCAATTATTTTCATACTTCCAACGCAGTCAACGGTCACTGCTAACACATGTATTGAGATTTTCATTCAGGAAAAATGAGGCATCACCACCTGCAAAAATGTGGCTTGGGGATTGGAAGAGTGGCCTGAATTTTCAACAACAGCGAACTATAGTCCAGCCTGGTAACTACAGTACATTGCTTTGCGTCGTGCATTCCTTGGTGCATGGTAAGACAGTCATTGCTTGGCCCACATTCTTTTTCCTCTACAAAGAGTTGCTAGTGATGTCAGGTTTTCACATATGCCCGTGGTATCTGCTTGCCGCAATCAGCCATTGTTGAATCTCCCATGGCTCCCATTGCGTGCTCCTTCTTCGCAGACCATTCGGAGTCCTAATGTAGAATTGGTACCTGACTAGAAAGACCGGCGCGGCTTTGCCACGCCCACTTTAAAGATTGGCCAGTTCATCTCTTTGATGCGTTGCTGGATTTCTAGTTACTGGGACTGCTATAGCGATTTACATTCTTGATTAATCTATACTGAGTTTATACATCAAAATATGTATTTTGGTTTACTATCTACTTATGACCAAAATTGTAACACTACCAGTGAAGTTTGATCATATTTGGTGCTAACAAGTTGTGGCCAAAATTATATTTATTTATATTATAACACTACCTCTTGAGTTATTAGACGAGCCTTGAACCTCAACACCAGATCTTGGCACGTGGTGGGTTCAATTGCACGAAGTACTGCCCTGACTTCCTCCTCTGTAATGGGTGAGGATTCTCTTCTTTCTGAAAGAGATGATTTAATGTTGCTTTTAATGTTCTGTAAAATGTACAAGATTACTGTAAATTAGTAAATGGTTGCTACCCAGTGGCGCCACACCAGAAGGGCCTGAATGCCTTATCAATGCAGATGAGCACAACACATAGGCAAGGCAGATGAGCCTACAATTAAGACGATGAGTCTATCCTTAACTCTGAAGAATAATACCATAGATTATCTTATTTCCTTTTGCTGTTTTCACTTGGCAGAGCATGAAACCAGATGCTTCCATGAATGATGCATTTACACATTAATTTAAGCACTGTCGCATAGATCAATCTCGAGAAGAGATTTTTGATACATGCCTGTCTAACCTAAGTTGTTTGCTCTCGCCGGCGATGGTGTACCAAGTTTGACCTCATACTTGATAAGTAAGACAAAATCAGTTCAGTTATTGGAAGATATCTATTTGGCTGATTGTAGGTAACATCTTTTGAACAGGAGGGACCAAGATATCTGAAGTAGTTAGCAACCATAGTTTAAAAGGCGGTTAGGCGTCCAGGCGAGTGCTTGGTACGCCTGGACGCCTAGGCGACGCCTAGGCGGCGCCTTGAAAACTATGTTAGCAACTCAGCATTGCATTATCAGTGTTTATGCCGAATTCTATTACCTAAGGAAACACTGACTCATGCCCTAAAGAGACCCAGCGAATGCATCATTTGGATATAGTTTTGGGGGAAAAAAACCCTAAACCAAATAGGTTGATTTGGTTAGGAAGAGAGTACCAGAAATTGGATTCATGAGACCAGTTGAATGATGAAAAATAGAGAAAGAGAAGAGCACACATGTAGGGAAAAAAAGAACTTAACTCTCCACTTCATAGTCAGGAAACTGTCTTATTATTGCTGCCATTGCACATCAATCCAATATTATTGTTAGGCGTCGCCTTGAAAACTATGTTAGCAACTCAGCATTGCATTATCAGTGTTTATGCCGAATTTTATTACCTAAGGAAACACTGACTCATGCCCTAAAGAGACCCAGCGAATGCATCATTTGGATATAGTTTTGGGAAAAAAAACCCTAAACCAAATAGGTTAATTTGGTTAGGAAGAGAGTACCAGAAATTGGATTCATGAGACCAGTTGAACGATGAAAAATAGAGAAAGAGAAGAGCACACATGTAGGGAAAAAAAGAACTTAACTCTCCACTTCATAGTCAGGAAACTGTCTTATTATTGCTGCCATTGCACATCAATCCAATATTATTGTTGCCACTGTCGAGAAACCACTGTCACCAGTCTAGGTTCGAAGGCTGGCACAAACTTCTTAATTGCCTAAATGATGAAGATGGGAGAGTGCAGCAGGCTGGCGTGCATGAACCTACACCATGATGCTCGGTTGCTTGCTATTCAGTGACCGGCATCGTGGGTGACTGTTTTGCCGATGATCTGGCACACCTTGATGTCGAGTTGCTTCCTCTTTGGTGACTGGTGTGGTGGGCGACTCCTTGTTTCTTTGATGATCCGGTGACGCTGCGTTCATCTGTAACTGAATAATTTTAGATGTTAAAAGACAAACCTGTAATAATCATCTAATTCCAAAAGGAATGCAGAACACATTATTCAGATAACTATAGGTAGTCCCTAGTTTATAAATAGAAACAAAACCAAGAAAGATTCCTGCAGGAAGAGGACACATAGAAGCAAATAGCAAATGGCTTTTCAAGTGATAAATTAGAACATTGTGCTAATTTCTATATTGTAGCTAAAACTTACCTTGGCTGAAGGACAAAGGAACTGTAGCAGGAACCTGAAGTGCCCACATAATCCATGTCAGAAATAACTACTTGTAAGATGGAAATTACAAATTCTTAATAGCATTCAGGTGTACCATATAGGCTCAGAATGATATCAGTCTCCCAAGACTATGGAGTTGCATCACATAATTTATTGTGAGGGACAATTTATAGAACTATGAGCATCAAACGTATTCAAATATTTATTTAGGCCAGATAGCCAAAACAAAAAAAAATCAATAGTATTTAATGGTGTAGCTTCTATTTCAGCCAGACTACACAAACACTATTCTAAAGTCTAAACAACAAAGTCAATCTAAACTGAATGATCGGGCTAATTCATGTAATCGATTCTTGTGCAACCACAAAAATCAGGAAGATGGCTCATCACATGAGAGTAAGAAGATGCAGAAAAGGGAACTAAAAGGTACCACCTGGCTCATCAAGGCAAGGACTTAGTTTTGGTTCATCACACACCTTCTCTGTAGGGAAGTGAGTCACTGCTTCTAATAGCTTGTCTTGCTTTAATCTGAATTTTCTCAAGCAAATGTTTTTCTCTGAAACTTATCTCAAAGCAAAGGTCTGAAGATCCAATTTTTTCCCCAGAATCTGAATAACGTCCATTCACGTCCTTTCATAACTATGTCAGGACCTGCTATTTATTTGATGAAACTGAAAATTCTGAACATTGTCCATTCAGTAACCCAGAACAACAGATCAATTTCAGTACCTGCTGTTTATCTGCTAATTAATTCAGCAATTGAATCATCCTATCTGATTCATCCGTTCAATAGCTCAAAACTATGCACAGTGAATCCGGTCAGCTGGAGCACGAAGCCTGCACCTGCCGGGACCGTGCGGCTGCCTGGAGCCTGGTGAGGTGATGCCGCAACGATGCGACTCGCCACTCGCCAGCCGCCTGGTGCCGCCGCAGCCCGCAATGGAGTGCTCGCGGGGCCGGGGACTCGCGGTCGCCGTCTAGAACTCTAGATGCGGGCCCGAGGGACTCGTGCCTCCGGGGGAAGTCGCGCCGCCGGAGGGAAGTCGAGTCCGTCGAGCTGGAGCTTGGTGTTGGCGTCAGGGGGAAGGTGCCGCCGGGGAGTCGCGCGACGGGTGGGGACGCTCGCGGTCGCGCGCAGAGAAGGGGAGCGGGCGATGGGTGGGAGCAAGTTGGACGCGGACGGCCGACTCACCGACGCTGGGCGAGGGAGAGTGGAGGAGGAGGTCGCCGGGGTGCCATTTTGGACGCCGCGGGAGGTGAGGGACGAGGCTGCGGCCGCGGCAATGGGAAGGGAGTCGGAGCCGGGGTGGCCGCAGCCGCCGTGCCTGCGCCCGCCGCCCGCTCCGGGGTGGCTGGAGCCGCCACTCCGGGCAGCTGGGGCCCCCGCCCGCGCCGGGATGGCCGGGACCGGAGCGTCCGCGGGCGTCCGCGCCTGCGCCGGGATGTCTCGCTGGTTGCAGGCGCCCGTGCCGCCGCTGGCTCGACGGATGAGCCCAAGAAGGTTCCCGAGGTTTCGGGTTTACAATGAAACGGGTATAGACCAAACCAATCCACAATCGAACGGCCACCATCGCAAGTTCGCCAGATCGAACGGCTTGCGGCTTAACGGGCGACGTGGCACGATGGTTAGCCTGCTTTTGGAAGCAGGATTAGTATATAGAGATGTTGCATGATCATCGGCAAGCAATGCCAACGTACAATGCTGTATTTCTTATGATGTCAGTGGATCAAGACTCATGACTTGTGGGGCTCATAAAGCCACAAAGATTTGGAAACAGGACATCAACCGTCAAGCATGTGTACCCTGCATGTGTACAATACTAGCATTACAAGTTAGTAACAGCAACAACGCAGAATGCTGATGCCATGAACATTGAACAAGGCTCCCTAGCAAGAAATTCAGGTGGTACTTCTGCAAAAGAGGAATCGAGGGAGGGAGAACCTGGCCCAACTGTGTCAATCCCTGCATGAGGCTTCGTGAAGCTCTGCTGAACGGTCACCACTCAACAAAGTGGTATAGTGGGAGGTTGCATGTCGAGAACGTAACTAGGTGAGTGATGAATGATTTCCCGAGGAAAAAGAAGCTCTCTTGCCACTCTTTCCACCTGAACAAAATCAATAGAGGAATTATGCTTTGCAGTTGAGAACAATGTCACCTGTCGACTACACTACAAATTTGTAGGCAGAGCTGTTCAATCAGGTTTGTGATAAACATTAAGAAATGGTGTAAACTGACAAGATTAAAGCCACAAGACATTCAATCTTAACGTTTGCATGCATATATTTATCATCATGCTAGATTTCAATTATTATACTACCAATGCACATATTGATGTGGGCCAGATATATGGACATGATTTTAGCAGCTTTCTTGCACTTCTTCTCTGATCTTTATATTAGCTTATGAACTAGTACAATTAAAAGGACAACTCACAAAGAGACGATTCACAACTTTTTTCTATAGCCAAACAGACAATTCAGAATTTTTTGTCTATAGCCAAATAATTACAAAATTAAATGTTGCCTGAATCAGGCACATGAGATATATGAGAAATGTTAAAGTTCCTTTGCACCAAGTAGAGCATCAGACCCTCTTAGAGGGGATCCCTAGGGGACGGGTGCAGACCCAAAGCACCCAGTGTTAATTCTAAATACTTGAGTGCAATGTATGTTCACTGAAGAATCTGAAGTACTCCGCAGCAGTGTAGCGCCCTGGAGGTTGGAGCCAAGTGCCAAAGTCTGATAACCAGTGCAGAAGCTATGCCTATACCTATGACTAACCTCATGCACACCTGATAAGAATGAGTGAGTCAGGCAGCACACCTGATAAGAAAGACTGAACAAGCAACGTGTGCACAAAATGTTGTCCCTACCACATCTTAACCATAACCCCAAATGCACAGAGTTACCGATACTTACAGTCTGAATGAACCATGATGCGAGGAACAGCGAGAATGTTGGACGGTCTCCAACAGGTGACCCATAAGGGCACCTGCCCCCAAAATCGGTCTCCGACAGTATTATATCAGTCTCCAACAGAGTACCTATACAGAGGCCAGTACCTATACAGGAGGCCCATTTTTGGGTATCAAGAGAGACACAACCTAAATCTAGAGTATCCTCTCTCCTAAAAATCTATTTGTAGAAAGAGTTTTTTTTTGGGTATTGTTGTTAGAGAAGAAAAAAAAATATTGAACTCTTTGACCTGTAACGCTACCCAAACATGGAATGGGTCTTGTATTTTGGGTGCCGTTGTCGGAGATAGTGAAACAACTGGAATTAAGTGACGTACAGCGGGGCAACCTACAATGACATATAAAATAGAACAACGAACACTATTGAAGAAATAATAATACAAAACTCATGAATTCGGGAGAAAATGATAAAAGCAATGATCTAGAATAAATACGCCCTAAGCATCCCTTAGCACCATGGACCAAAACAGAAATACATCTCTTGAGAGCCAAGAAAACATTAGGCAAAGCACAATTTATATTTTCTCCAAATCACTGAACCAAAGCATGAATAACAATTTAGGAGGAAGTAACACAGGTTCTCAGAAAACTAAGTGTAACCACATCATAAGCTACTCCCAGTGTGGTGTAAATGTTGAGATCCAATAATAACCAAGATTTTCTACTTTCGCTCAAGAACATCATCACAGCAGGCTGATCAGACTGGGAAAGCTCAAAAATATCAACTGAGTGGTCGTCCTGAAAATAAAGATGAGAGCAAAACTCATTGCATTATCTGGTAAGCGAAACAACAATACAGCCGTCGTTGTTCAAGAGTTCAAATGAAAATACCACCACTTGGCATAGCAGTTCAAAGCAATAGAATAGTAATAACCTAAGGATGGTACATTAGGCATTGCAGTTGCAAGAGCAACAAGGCAAGCAAGAAAGGCATTTCAATCTTCCCCAGCAACTCAAAACAAAGGTAGCAACTCAAAACAAAGGTAGCCAGCCAACATAAACTACACCTATTGTGCCTCCTCTGTATCCTGGTTCTTCTTCTTCTTCTTCTCCTTTTTCTTCTCACTCTTCTCAGCATCTGTGCCATCTCCATTCTGAGCACTCTCCGGAGCTGCAGAATCACTTCCTTCCTTGCCTTTCTTCTTCTTCTTTTTCTTCTCACTCCCCTTCTCATCAGCTGCATCAACCTCCTCCTTGACCTCCACAGCCTCAGCTGATCCTGATTCACCCTTGTCTTTCTTTTTCTTCTTCTTCTTCTCACTCTTCTCCCCTTCCACTGCTTCAGTGGCTTCCTCAACTTTGATCTTCTTTGCGGGAACAGAAACATCAGTATCATCATCATCCTTCTGCCTCTTTTTTTTCTTCTCCTTAACCTCTTCAGTCACAGCTGTGTCTTGCTCCACCTTCGCCTTCTCTGGCTCAGGAGCAGCTGCAATGCTGGCAACTGAAACATCACCACCAGTGGGAAGCACCACATTCCGAAGCCATTCAGCTGGTGTCTTCTCGTTTGGCTTCCCACGCTTGTCAAGGAGACCCTCAGCAATCATTTTTTTCTTCTTGAGTGCCACCGGGCCAAGCCCCCACTTCCTTGGGTACGTATCTCTGTCCATCACTACCCTCTTGATCTTTGCAACTGCGCCATGGTCACAGGTCGCCATCACAGCAGTAGTCATCTCAGCAATACCAATCGCGATTGCCTCACCCTTGGTCGTCATGAGAACCACCTCCTCCCCGGTCTCAATGTCATTCTCAAATCGGAGCAACCCAGGAATCATAAGCTTAGCACCATAGCAGATAGCATTTACAGCAGAGTCCTTCACAACAAGCCTCTTGTAGCTAGTAAGCAGTACCTCTAGTGGCATCACGACACGCCTCAAGTATGACTCATCCTTGTAGTTGTCCAGCGACCACATCGCGTCCATCACATCGTGCATGGTCACCATGTTGTCCTGCTCCCCGAGGATCCCCGACCTGACACGGCGCAGCTCCTGCATATGCGCACCAACACCAAGGAGCAGCCCAAGGTGCACACAGAGAGTCCGGACATAGGTACCTGCCTCGCAGGAGATCCAGAACACGGCGAGGTGGCGCTCGGGATCGTGCTCCAGGAGCTTGCTCTCGTAGATTGTCCGCACCCTGAGCTGGCGCTTGACAGCAGAGATAAGCGGTGGGCGCTGGAACACCGCGCCGGTGAGGGCCTCTAGCGCGCGGGCCACCCGCGCGGTGTCCGGCACGGCGGCGTGGAAGCGGGCGATGCATACGTACTCCTTGCCGGCGCCCTGCTGCGACTTGACGAGGCGCGTAGCGCGGTCGATGCAGACGATGAGGTTGCCGGTGACCTTGGGGTCGAGCGTGCCGCTGTGACCGGTCTTCTCGGCGCGGAGGATGCGCTTGATCCAGGCGACCACCTCGTGGGAGGACGGGTTCGACGGCTTGTCGAGGTTGATGACGCCGTAACGGAGATAATCGGCGAGGGGGCGCTTGAGCGGCGAGTGGCCGGAGGGGAGCGGGGTGTAGTGGCCGGTGCGGACGTTGAGGCGGTCGTAGTTCTTGAGGAGGAGCGGCCAGGTGGAGGTGTCGAGGGACGGCACAAGGGACTGCGGCTTGATGAGGTAGCCATCAGTCTTCTCCTCAGCCTCAACGAGCGGCGGCGGGTCGGCGGCGGCGGCGGCGGTAGCGACGGCGGGGTCGTCCTTCGATTTGTGCTTCTTCTTCTTCTTCGATTTGGCTTGCTCAGAGGCGGGGGACGCGACGGCCGGCGTCGCGGACGACATTGCGGCGGGCAATGGGGGTGGGTAGGTTCTAGGGTTTTCGCGGCGGAGGGTAAAGGTGGGAGCGGCGGCGTGGTGGCAACGGAGAAAGGGGTTTTAACGGAAGGGTTTAGGGTTTAGTGGCGGGAGAATGGGCCGATCGTGGGTTGGGCTATAGGCTTTTGCGGGACCAGGCCGGTTTCGATAATATAAGTGGGACACGATTTCGCATAATGCGACCACTGGAGATGGGATCATTGATCTTTACAATTGTTGGTATAAAATAAATGCTACAAGATTTCGCATAGTGCCGAGGAAGATCAAAGATCTTCGGATGAAGGGCTCTCCATGGACTGATGTCATGCCGAGCGGTTTTGGCTAACAGACACATTATTAATAATTGTGGCTGCCCAGTGTGCCACAATGGGGCGCAAGACATTCACCTGTTCGCTCGTTGGTTTCAAGCAAGGCTTATTAGCCAGCCAACAGTGTTTTCTTCTCACAACAAACCAACACCAGTCGGACTTATCAGCCTAGAAACCAACCAGGAACAGACCGATTAAGCGTATTTAATCATATGAAATTCTCATGTGATCGAGCAAAAGCAGTGTGGAGATCGCTCGAGTTTAGGAGAGGATCATGCAACTCCTGGAAACTGATGGATCGGGATCTATTTATTGTACTAGAAGAGGTAACTCGAAGAGGAGAACAAGTTCAAGGCCTAGGGGTAGGCTTAGCTGAACTAATTCTGATTGGAGGCTGGTTCCTGTGGTGGGAGAGACGACAACTTGTGCATGGAGAGAACTTACAACGACCTTTAAGATCAGGCCTGTCTATTGCTACTCTTACTAAGAATTATAAGTTAGCGGCAAAAAAAAGAACCGAGCTACGTCCAAGGTTGGCGGAAACTTCCGAAAGGATTTTAGATGTTGAATGTTGATGCTTCATTTGATGAAGATAGGGGTGCAGAAGTACGAGATCAGAGACGGCTCATGGATATGGTGGTAGCGTCAAATACTTTTGTCCCTCACCTGGTGGATGCAACTATGGCGGAAACCTATGCCTTGAAGGAAGGGTTGATGTTAGCACTACATATTGATTGCGACCGGTTGATGTTCAATCCGATTGTATGGAGGTTGTTGAAATCATAGGCAATGGAGGTTTCACTACTAATTCAGCTACTGTGATGTATGACGAATGTAATATGGTTTGGTGCGGATTCAGGAGATTCCATTGAGCATTTCAGCAGGAAAGCAGGCGGCACATGAGCTGGCTAGGCGAGCTATGCATAGAAAGGAAAATTGTATTTGGAATGATGATGCCTCTAGCTTTATTCTTGATTTATTAAAGCCAGTCTCATAGGGAGTTTCACTAGAATTTCATTTTCATTTAATAGCCTGCCACATATGGATTTTTGATGACATGGCAATGTTTTAACGAAGAGAGAGAATAATTGAGTTTCATGGAAATGAAACTCTCTTGGCACAGATACCAACTCTCTATGAGTCATAGAATTAAATGTCTATGAAACTATAGAATAAAACTTTTCATTGAAAGTTGATGTTTCATCCAAGTTTTATTTCATTCTACTTGACATGGCAGTCTTGAAAATAACGAAATGAAACTCTCCACTGAGACTGGCCCAACAAATAATGTAACTACTCTCAATCAATTAAGCTTGCCGATTGGTTTGTCAAAAAAAAAACTTTACATGGAAAGAGCGCTGGCTGCTACAGGGAAATATATTTCAGGAAAATCACTCTTTCAAAAGACGCCTGGATCTACCACTGTATACACAGAGCACAACATGAGCTCTTTATTTTTTCTCTCTCTTATATGGAGCTCTCCTTCGGTCTTCTTTATATAACCTAGGTGAGCCGGTAGAGATGCTCAACGTGATGCTTCTTCATTGTTTTTAGCTCCATGATTCCTTCTCCATTTAGGCCTTGTTTGGATGGATGGATTCACCTTAATCCACATGGGTTGGGATGGAATAGGGTGGAGTTTAGTTAAAGTTCTACTTCAATCCAACCCAACACACGTGGATTGATGTAAATCCGACTACATCAAATAAGACATTAATGCATTTCACAACAAACATTGATTTTCTCCGGGGCCACAGATTGATATAGGTGCCGAAATTTGCTAAAATGGTCAATTTCGTTTGAGCCTAGATCATAATGTTTTGGCCTGCACACTATAGATGAGATCGTGAAGGTACAATTTCACCGTCAACAAAAAGCACTCAAGCGTTGTTAACCTACCAGGTCAAGCACTTTACGCCCACAAATATATTTGCAAGCAGTAGCCCAATAACCAGTCCAAAAGACGACAGTTAACACCTGAATGGAGTTATGCAACATTCCTCAGTGTGTGTGACGGTACCAAACAGAAAGGGCTTCAGTGGCAATACCACGAACAAGGTTCACTACTAAGAAATTCAGACGACACTACACTAGCTATTCACACGTGGATAACCTGGCCTAACTAATCCCTGCGTAAAGCCGCCCGAAGTTCCGCTGGATAATCCCCAAACTGAGTAGCGGAGGGAGGATGCATGTTGAAGACGTAGGTGACTGGTGCTGCCACCTGCATCCCTCTTGGTTGCCTGGAGATATCTGAGAACCATCCTAGTGTTGCTTCATCAAACATAAACGATTCGCTGAGGAAAAAGAAGCATTCTCTCGCCAATCTTTCCACCTGAAAAATCAGCCGCAGAAGTAATATTTCACAGTTGAGCGCAATGTCAAGTGTTGGATCAATTTCAAATGAGCCTTGAGGTATGGCTTACCTGTAACTGAACATATCTTGTGTTTTTCATGATCAGGATGACCTGCAGGTCAGACAGCCTTTCTGACAAAATCTTGATGGCAATATTCGTGAAGAACTTATGCAAGAGAGCCTGCTCAGTGGCTGACTCATCATTATCAAAGTCAGCGAACCAAAAAACTCGCTTAAGTTGTGTCCAAGGAACTGGTAATTTATGCTCAAGCCCAGTGATTAGACTAGATGGATCAGCCAAATTTTCGAGTATCTTGAGGCCCTTTGGAACCGAATGAGACTCAGCAGACTGAAGACCAGGTGTACCAGCAACAATCTTACAGGCATCATAAAACTGGCTAAGCTTACTAGAGAGCTCCAGGGTTTTATCATTCATGACAAGAATATACCCATCTCCATCAGCAGGAAGCAACCTTGTACAGCACAATGAGGTGGCTCTGCCTTCTTGAGAGCATACTCCAGATGTGACAGGTGCAGAAACCAAGGAGCCAAAATCATGTGAGTATGGACAAGAGTTACCACTTCGACAACCCTGATTCGAGAGAACATAACAACAGAGACCAAAACAGAGAGATGTGAGGGGTAACTCAGTACCCATGCATTTCAGAAAATACAAAATCTATGCAAGGTGAAATAGCATCATTTGTAATTTATTCATTGTCTTGAATTTGGCCATACAGAAATATTATGAATAAAAACTCTTGCTACTAGAAGCACAGGAAAACAGCCTAAATTAACAGCTTGGGCTACAAACTTGAATGAAGAAGACATGAGCCAACAAAATGTGAAAGATCAACCAATAACATAAAATAAAATAAAATATTAAAAATCATACCTGTAATGTGAGATAGAACTTGCATACTGGTTTAGGAGCAAGGGATGAATGAGAAAAGCGGCATGCAGCCCCAAGATTGCATAATCCATTAGCAAAAAACACACACGCCTCAGTTCCCAAGGTTGGCTTCACATTAGAACCAAGTTGTCCCTTATAAGAAATTGTCTTCACCTCAGCATGTTGTGTTTTCATCTGTGGACCAAATAAGAATCATTATGGGTAGCACAGAGAATTAATCGGACTGCATTTAACATAGATACTCATTAAGTTCATCGACTGGAGCGCACCTCCTTGACAAGTGTCTTCAGCAATTCAACAATGGTACTGGTCCCAAAATCAGTTGGCGAAACATATGGAGTTGCAGCACATCGCTTCTGCGAATCGCTGTGAGAATTCTCGGCCTCCAACGAGAGTGAATCCATATCCACCTCTAGATCCAGTATTTTATGATAGAGACACGTGTGGTTGAATTCAGAAGGCTGAAGAAACTTTGGAGGATTGATTTTGACAAGAAAACTTGGCCTAAAACGGTGCAGTTGCATCATAACATCATCATCTAGTCAAAAGAACGAGTTAGCTGCTGACAAGTGTTACTCAAATTGTATGAAAATATCTTGCACTTCTACGAGTAGATCCTTACACCTAGTAAGCCTTGTTTGAACCCAAGCTACTTCTACACAGACCAAGAAGGCTAACTTTTCAAATATCTCCTGTACAATTTTCCAATATATATTGGAAAAATGCATGACAAAAACAATGGTACTAAGCCACTACTCTAAGGTAACTTACTAGGAGTACGTATACTCTCATAAATCGCAAGAGTACAGGCAGAGGACATACAAATTTCAGAGATGTTCTTAAACGCTGCAGGGACGAGATTGTGAACTGCACACCACTCCTCTTCGGGTTTAGTAAGGAAGGTATGTGATTCTTCTGGTTCTTGAGTTTTCGCCACATCTTTTAGATATTCCAGACGGTGCTTGTCCTGAAATACAGGGTGAATTTAATCCCGAATTGCAGACAATAAAAAGTTCAAGGGTATTTTAAAACTGAAGCAAAAACCTTTTTCTAATAATGATGGCATGTCACGCTTTAAGACTTCAAATTATTAATGTTGCAAAACAAAACTATCAAATGTGGATGTATGCACAGGGATTATTACACATAGGATATACCTTAAAAACACACTCCCAAAATTGAAATGCACAAAGATTTCCCATGGTGGTAGCTTCCTTTTTGCCAATTTGTACACTGCCATTTCCCTTGAAATAATTATCTCTGTACTTCTGGCGCTGTAAAACAGATAACAGGGAATAACTACCACAACACTTGGAACTGGAGATGAAGGATGGTTACATATCTATCAGTCCATAACCCAACTAAAGCATACCACATACCAGTGCTTGATAGCCAAAAGGTTGCACAATAGGAAGTGGCTGGATGTCCAACATGATGCTTATTAGAATTCCTTCATGGACACAGCCAAGCTCACAAAATTTAAGGGCAAGAACAGAAGAATCAAATGACAATGGCAAACTATTGAGTAAACAGCCATAAAAAGTGGGCTTATAGCGTCCAGAACTTGTAATCTCCAACGCATGAATTTGAACAAGTGATTCTAGTGCGTCTTCAATAGCATCTGGATCTGGTGGATTAAGAACTCTTTGCAGAAGTGCTGCAGGAAAAACATAGTAAGAGGTTTATCTTAACCTAACTAGGTAGCAAAAAATTGACCACAAATATATACATAAGTTTTTGAACTAATCACATGAATATACTATTGACGTATTCTTCATAAAAAGTACCTCCATTGTGTGATATCTTTTGTGATGAATATAGTATCGATGTATTCTTCATAAAAAGTACCTCCATTGTGTGAAATCTTTTGTGTAATTTGATAAAAAATATAGAATTATGAAATTTAAGTGTCAAGGTTTGCACTTTGAAGGTGTGAAAAAAAAGAAGGATAGCGACAAACTCACCAGGGACAATCATAGATTGCTTCAAATTAAAAACAATGAACGAGAGTATAACATAAATAAATCACAAAACAAGCATGAATTAAGGATTTAAGGGTGGTTGAGCTGCAGAGAAAAAGAATTACCGCTAGGGTCATTTATCGATCTGGGCTCTGCACAACAAACCATGAGCACCTGCTCCCTTAAGGATAATCTCAAAATGGCAGGATATTCATGATCATTTAAACTGCTATAAAATGTTCCAGTTACCAAACGATAAATTTGACCATCACAGGTTCGACCTGTCCTGCCTTTACGCTGCTCAGCCTAGGAAAAGATTAAAGAACAGTACAAAAGTTTCAAGCTAAAAGGTAAACTTGAACAAGAAAAGGATTAGGACATCTGTGATTTAGTTACCTGAGACTTGGAAATCCAAACAAGCCCAGCTGCGTCTGTTTTCCTAATTGGGTCCCAGTAGACTTGCAATGATCTACAAGAATCAATAACATATGCAACTCCTGGTATAGTAACTGATGATTCAGCAATGTTTGTAGCCAGTATCACCTGCAGGGAAAAAGAAACTTCCATTGTGATTTATTGGTAACAGATCATTTCAACTATCTAAATATAAAACGCGCCCAAACTAAGTTCATCTGTATTGTTATTTGTTACAACTAATTACGTTACATCCCTTCAAGTGTTACGGGGTATCCTTGTAGGCCAGTCACAGAGCTAATTCCCCTTTTTAAAAGGCAGCCCTTCACATCTCAAATATAAATCCATTTGGACTCATGCACGTGATTAAGGTCCATGGTACAATGGCTATGATACCTCTCAATATTTGTAATAACTAAGGTAATTGGGGTGCTTACTTTATTGAATAGGCAATTCAAATGGCATAAAAGGTGCCTTGATGAATAGAGTGTGCGTGTTCCCTACTGTATTTTCCTAAAAAAGAAGCCTTGAAATTGTTGATGATCTTATATTTGGTGAAGTGTAATTCCCCATAACTCATACAGCGATAAGAAACACATATCATGCTGATGCATGACATGTAACTGAGGCATAAATGAGATCAGGAAAGAGAGGTATTTCTGCTTGAGATTTCAGCAACCATGCTATTGCAATTAGAAAATAATGATACAACCACACTTCATCCATTTCAAAATGTATGGTGTGATTTGAGCCAGTGTTGTCTCTTGTCTCCAACGATACACTTTCACCATTAATATCTCTTTATGTGATATAAGCCAATGACCATAAAATCGACATCATATTTAGTAATGGAGATATGAATAGAATTTCTAAATTTATATCACCATATACAGACTCTTGGGCATTTTTTTTTGTCAAAGTTCATTAATTTTGAATATTGATATCTGTGTGTGCCTTATAAAAAGAGGAGGGAGCATAAATAGAAATTCCATAAAATAATCCAATGTATTACTGTTATCATTATTTCTCGCTACTGGCACCACATAGCCAGAAATAGAAGCAAGTATTGGTAAGAAAAAAGACCACGTATGGTATGATAGAAATATAGGGGTATGTACCTTTCGGCAAGACTTTGAGATCTTCATAGTCTGAAGTGCTTCATCAGTGTCAATACTCCGGTGAAGAATATGTACTTTAAAGGTTGAACTAAAAGGAAATAGACGGCTCCATTGCTGCTCCAATGCATAGTATGTAGGGAGGAAAACCAAAATACTCTTGCTAACGTCTGGTTCATTTTGGTGTATATGCAACAATAACTTGTGGATAACTTCATAAACATCATAGTTTATTTCAGCATCAGCAGAAGCATCCAGACCAGAGCAATATTTTGTTGAAAGCGATTGGGAATTTATCTTGAGAATATCAGCAATCTGAAAAGCATTGTTGCAATATGTAATGATTAACCATGACGAAGAAAGCTTATGGAGATGAATATATAGTACCATTTAAAAATCACAAACAGGGAGATGGAACAGAAACCAATGTGCCGTGGCAACATTAATGAAGTTGTCAAAGTAATGAAACTGGCATTAATTACACAAACATGAATAAATGAACATGTTTAATTAGTGGGTCAATATAATTTGTGGAAATGGTTACTTTTACATTGGATCAGCAATATGATTAATTGTAAATACACAAACAAACAACATCCTGTGGTGCAACCAAACATATAAAAGATTCAAAGACACATCATGCAAATTGGTTCATTGTAAGTTCAATAATATATGATGGACAAATATAGTAAGCAGTTAAACAAAATATTCACCTGCTCCAGGTATAAGACTTTGCGCTGAAAAATGCTTGTACGTGGACTGCAGGGAATGGCAATCACTTCAATCCTTTCGCCTCTTCCTAGATCTCTAAAATATTCTTTATATCTAGTAATGTCAGCAGTGGCAGACATCAAAACCAACCTGCCAAGAGTGACACGGTGACATACCAACAGCAGGTAGACAATAATTTATTTATAATACAAGATAAGATGGGAAAAATTACTGCTAAAAGACAAACATGATGTACCATACACTAGTGGACATTACGCTATTGTTTACCTTAAGTCACTCTTTTTCATCAAAAACTGCTTGATACTAGCAAGGACAAGATCAGATTCCACGGATCTTTCATGTACCTCATCAAGAATAATGACCTTATACCTCAACGCAGCAATCCCCCTATCACACATTTGCTCCAATACTACACCGGCTGTTTTGAACACAATTTTTGACCTGATTCACATGTCAAAAAGTTTAGAAAGTCAATTATGTAGCATAACAGGACTTAAGACAAAATCAAAGGTAGTTAAAAATGGACCATAAGCTTTAGGCAAATTGAATACCCAAGAGAATAATAAGGAAAATAACTGGAGATTCAGAGTAACTGGAGATTCAGAGAATGGCAGTGGTCAATGTTGTGTAAAACTAGTGAATGTGTACGTGGAATCCACATTGACAAAATATATGTCAGAAATAATCATAGATAATAGACATTGAAATTGCAAATTGTGGAAATAGCACCTGGTGTTTCAACACATGTGTGACCAAGAACCTATCTTTGACATAGCTCGGTTGTATTTTGGAAACATAGGGTTCCATTTGTGGTATTGGAAAATACTATTAGAAGCTGCAAAAAGACTAATCGAAGGAATCAAGGAGAGGTATGCAGATAGGGATCGACTCGGAGAGTGTTGGGCATAGAATTGGTGAGTCCAAAATGTAAGGTTCTCAGGATCAGGGTTCTAGCAAGGAACAATTTTTAACACTTGACAAGGATAGGAGGGTAACATGGAATGATTGTAGTCATAGCCACAAGACTTCAATCAAGTTTGCATTCATGAAAGACACTTGAGGGACAATCCCTACGGGATGATGCACAACCAAAGCACCCGGTACTAATTCAAAACGCTTAAGTGCAGGGTATGCTCCCTGATGGAACTTTAGTAGCAGTGTAACAGCATGGTGTCTTGGAGCCAAGTGCACAGGTCCAACAAACAGAGCACAAACTATGACAAAGCTAATGCATGCCTGATAAGAAAGCATTTGTCAAGCATGATGTTAACTAGAGAAGCAAAATGCACTCTGGAACACCATTTTTGCCCCTGCCACATCAGCAGACTAAAGTACTCCAAGTAATTACCCGAGTCAGAACGATCACAAAAAAGCATAAATCCACTCAATAAAGCTGCATATACTAGCTAAGTGTTGTGTGATAACTGAAAGCAGTCGAATTTCTCTTAAAACAATGGCATTAGATAACACATAACAGAGTTAAGTACCTTTTAGAGTTGAGATCCGACACATTTGAGTGACCTATATGATATCCAACCTCCTCGCCTAGCTGCCAATTGCGAGATTCAGCTATCACTCGAGCAATGGCTACCACTGCAAACCTTCTAGGCTGTGTGCACAGGATAGGTTCCATATTTTCCTCTAAGAGGAACTGGGGAACCAGAGAACTCTTCCCTGCAAGAAAAGAGAACTGAATAGGGTGGCAATTAAATATATAAACCCAATGAATTTCAAGAAAATTGCATCTTGCTCCACTGCGCGCTCGAATGCGCATCCGGTAAGGCAACGACAAATTCGGGAATCTGAAATGTGAATCCATAGGGTGTCCTTCCGCACTAAAAGTACATAAGGCAAAGACATATTCGGGGAATCTGAAATGCGAATCTCAAATGGTGAATTTCCCATTTCCGCACTAAAAGGTAGAAGGTAGAACCTCCCCTCGCAATTTACCCTTCCCCTGAAACCCTTGCAATAAGGAGACAACTGAATCGAAGTTCGTCCTGCTAAAACCCTTCGAGTTCCTTCCCAATCCAACAGAAACCGCGTCCAAAACCCCAGTGATAACCCTAATCAGACCTAAAATTACGAGTAGAACAAAATCGCACAAAACTAAAGCAACACAAATTCCATGAAACTTTTACCTAAGTAAAATCGTAAGAAAAAAAATCCATCTCCTGGCCTCAACAAAACCCCAAAAGCGTAAAAAGGCTTCATCACAGCACAGAGCACACACACAGTAGGACCGATCGAGAAGGTAATGGGCGAAAGGAAACCCCGGAAGTTACCGCATCCGGTGTCCCCCACGATCAGCGTGACGCGGTTCGCCTTCACCTTCTCGACGATCTTGTCGCGAAGCGCCTCCACGGCGAGCGGCGGCCGCGGCGGCGGCGGCGCATCCTCCTGCTGCTGGTTCCCCTCCTCCACCACCACCACCCCCGGCGCCATGGCCGCCGGCTAGGATCCTTCCGAGGCTCAACGCAATGCCGCGCCTTCGGCTGCAAGCTTTCCGGCCCCTTTTGGGCTTGCCTCCGATGGCTCGCGCCTTCCGTGGCAGTGTTTTGCTGCCCCTTTTGAAGTGGGGCGTGGCGAACTAGCGATGCGCTCTACTTGGTGCGCGGACCGGCCCCACGAGACGAGAGCACGGGAGGGAACGGGTATGAGTCATTGGTTCACCAAGACCGGGTCCAGGTAGATTCTACACTGAGGCCCGGAACTTCCTCCGGCACAGCTGGCGAAGGGTTTCCACGCACTTTCTACTGAGGGCGTGGTGATGTTTGTGTTGACGGGCCCACCTGTCAGTTTGACGTGTGTACCCTGTAGTCATTTTTTTCTATTTTCTATCATTGTACCCTGTAGTCAACCTGCAGGTTGGTTGACTGAGGTTTTCTTTTTAGCGCCTATCTGATCACATGAGATAGTATGGCTAAAAATTAGCTAAATTAGTTAGTGCATGTATAGCTAATAATTAGTCTTAGTGCATCCAATTAGGAGAGCTAATATGTAAGGTATTTTTTACCCAAGCATTTAACTAATTGTTAGCCAACTATTAACTACCTCCAGCTCATCCAAACAAGCCTTTAGTTAGACAAAAACATGTTGAGGTTAACAATATTTATTGTCATCTTCCGCGAACCTATCTAAGGCACCAAGAATCTTTCTAAAATTCACTCTCTAAATCATTATTTGGAGAGCCATTTGAGTAAAAATCGTTTTCTATATGTTCTAAAGTGCTAGATAAAATACAGAGAAGTTATTTGAGGATGGAGAAAAATAGGTGCCGATTCTTATTAGTATGAATCTCCAATTGAGAATTTAGAGAGCTTGTTTAATAAAAAATAGGGATGCAAGTGAGCTTGTCCATAAACTCATAAATAGTCTTAATTTTTACGGGTTATACAAGTAATTTGTATAATTTATGATTTTTCTTGTGGATGCAATCGGGTTTGTCCACAATCCCGTAAATAGGCTTAAAATGGCACTTATGCAATGTGTAAGCATTTATGAACTATTGTATTTCGCCATTTGGATGTTGGAACTATGTTATTGCTGAGTTGAGCTTGAGCAGGACATGAACTTAATTGCTTTTTGGTGGAAAACTATGGTTAAGACTTCCGTTTTGTGTGCGATTTGATGTGTCATATTTGAATTGGTGTGTATTTATGTTACAATATTGATGTTGTTCCTTATCAATTATCATTGCCTAAATAGAAAAGTGCTGCCAATTTTTTCTTAAAGCATGTGCTTTGTTTTGTTGACTTAGCACCTACAGAAAAGTTCAGTCGGTTCAGTTAGAACCAAAAACCAAAATGCTCAATTCTCCTAGTATTTTAGAGCATTTCAATTCTCAGTTTATAAGGAACCAAATTTTGCGTATGTAACCGAAGAACCAATCGATTGATTCGGCCCACCCCAATGGCTTTTTTTTCAAAACGCAGAAAACCATAGGGAAACAGAAAATCCAAGAAAACCATAGGGGACAGAAAAAGGATAGGGGCATCTCTCTTTTAATCCTGTAGCTCATTTAGAAGGAAGGGGCATCTTTTTTTAATCCTATGATTAATTAGATGGACTATCTTTTAAATTCTTCTATTCCACTTATATGGGATATCTTTTAGGGCCCTTTGGAACGTAGGACTTTCGTAGAAATTCTACAGAAATTTCACAGGATTTCATTTTTCACAGGAAAAGCATAGAAACAGGAAAAATAAGCGTTCCAAAGGGAGCCTTAAATTCTTCGATTTCACTTGTATGAGGCATCTTTTAAATTCTTAAGTTTCTGTAACTCACGTATATAGTGTTTAAAGAAAAACGACCTCACTACCGTTCGGCTTACCCCATATTTAACTTGTCCGGCTTCTTTTTTTTAGCCGGGGCAGTGTTTTTCTCTCACAACAACCGAACGGGGCAGCATGAAACAAATACTTCAAACAAACAGTGACCCCTCGTATGAACACTATCCTTTTTAACTGACTGTGATCCCTGCAAGCTAATAAATTAAAATTTTAAAATTATAAAACATTCTATACTAACATTGCACGTTGAAAATGCGCGCACTCAGCATGACGTGCGCCCCTAGCAAAATAATCGGCAACATCAATTAGTCATTTAATCAGGATACCTCTCAACAAATGAACAGAAAGGCTCATACTCAAGATATCAACCAAACTGTTTTGAGGAACAGTGACAGGCCTGGCTGCCGCCGCTGCCTCAATGTCTAGACCACCAGGAACCATTCTGGGTTTTGCCCCCAAAACAACCAGCCAACTCGGTCCATTCTTCATGTCCTAAGCAATCTATGCAACACGATTACAGGCCTTAAAAAGCGGCATTGTCCCATGTGTCCACCAGCTTCAGCCACGGCCACGGCCCCCACCTGCACCAATAAGTAAAGCGTCCCACAGATTGGTATCTCTTGAAACTGAGGGGTGGGACTGAAAACATGTGTAAGTGGTTACGAAAAGCACGTACCTTTGTTACCACCTTTGGCACCAACCCCACCCCTTCCACGGCCACCACTGCCTCTGCCTCCATCGTCTTGGCCGCGTCCAATGCCTCTGCCTCCAGGTTTAGCACCAACGTCCCCCCTTCCTCTTCCGCGGCCAACACCTGGTGGCTTCCTATCTGCATTTACAGCAGTATATAAAAAATCAAATCCTAAATTAGTAACCAATTACTTCGCAACAAATGACTCCAACTCTACATGAGCAGATACTGCAATATTTATCAATTCAATGACAGAACAGAATAGAACATTATTATATGACTGACAACAAATAAACTATCGTGTATGTGCCTACATGAAACAGAAGAACGAAAAACAGGCATAGCCATCCATACCAACGCGCTGCAAACTTTGAAAAACATGGTAGTGATACAGACATGGTCATTAATTAAGATAATATATTGGGGCCAGATTTTTTGTTAATCAAAATAAAAATATCCTTATTCCATAACGCTGTTATGTAAACACGTGCCAGTATTTAATTTTGAAACTGAGATCAATATTAGTATTATACAAAATCAGAAAGTTATGGATGTAAAGGAACAGTGGAACTACTAACTCTTAACAAATTTAAATCAGGAACCAATGAAGTTCATGCAACAGCCAACAAGACATATCTTATTTACTGATAAAATTAAGAACATCAGCATTGGATGCATGAAAATGATACAGATAGTCATCCAACATTCTTTAGAAACATTATACTTTGCATTCACATGGTATGGCTGGTGACATAAGTAAAAAAAAATGCCTATTAGAGACTAGATACGATCAAACCTGACTAATATTATGACATGGGGTAATCACGAGTTCATCGATTACACTCATAACATACAGTTTGAATTCATATGTTATGTGGTTAATGAACAGAGCAAGCATGTATAAAATATAAGCTGTCAAAGTATTGTTAACCACTCCATACCTGATCGGCTCTTGGAAGTTTCCTCCTGAACCTTGTCAATCACCTGAAGAAGGAAATGAACCATTCAAATAAGACTACATGGATGACAGAATAATGCTAATTTATCTTAGTGTACAGAAAGTAAACAAATAACAGAATACAAACAAAAATGGTATGGGAAGAAAAAGCTGTAAATTTAGAAAAATAAAATCTTAGCGCACTGCGAAAGAACTTATGGCTGCTGGGCACTTTTATTGCAGCAGAAGTTTTGAACTGTGTTAACAAATGAAAGTTAGGTAGACTGAAGAAGTTCCTAAGGAAATCTAGCAAGGGACCAAATAAAGGAAACTGACTAAGTGAGCAGACCATAAATAATTTATCCTGCATTTCAGTCGATATGAAAACCCAAAATCATATCCTGTACGCGTTAATTACTGCCAGAGTTTTATCAATGAACAACACAATCCAACAACATCATTCTGAGCACCAGACACCCAAAAGGCAGCGTGACATATTTCCTGTTTCATTCACACCTCCGATATTGACCATTTGAATACTTGAGAACTATTTAAGATATGTGCTAAATGGAATGCTAGAGTCGCATCCAGTATAAGAAATTTTAGAGTGCATTTTACAAGTTTCATCACCATTGTGACACTAAACTACAGGTAATGTACATAGTTTTTACGGCGGCGTGGCGAGGCGCGGCGACCCACCACCTTCACACCTTTACAGCATCTATGGCGCGCGGCGTGGCGACGCCATACACACATTGGCGTGGCGAATACATATATTATAGTCTAGGATATTAGAAAATTATATTGACAAATGGTAATGCAAATGTAGCTTAAAAGGTATAGTCTACAATATTAGCAAATCAAAATAGCAATATAAATGTAGCACAAAAGACATAGAACTCTCTCATCTCTCAAACTTTCAAATCTCTCATTTCTCAAAAGTCGTCACATGCATCCTAACTCAACCGCCTTGATAAATCAGGACCAGCCCGCTAGCCCACACCAGCCCACTACCATCACCAATATATAAACGAAATCAGAAACCCTAGACTCCACTCTCTCTCTCTCCTCTCCTCACTCCACTCTCCAGAGCGACGCGCCCAAGCGCAACTCCCTCTCCTCCGAGTGACTGCGCCCGAGCACGACTCCCTCTCCCCGAGCGACTCCCCCTCTCCCCAAGCGACGGCGCACAGGACCGCGCCCCTCTCCCTCCCCCGCACCCTCCCTCTCTCCCACCTGACCGCGCCCCTCCGATCGGAGCCAGCTCCCTCTTCTCCCTCTTTGACCGGTGGCATCGGCGCGTGTGGAGGCCGGATCCGGCGGCGGCGAGGCCAGATCTGGCTCAGCTGCCCCTTCTCCCTCCCCGAGCAGCGCGGATCCGTGGCATGTAGGGGCGGCCACGGCGGCGCAGCGCAGGAACCCTCCACCGACGGCGGGCTCGCGGTGTCCTTCCACGGCGACGACGGCCTCACCCTCACCGTCTATTGCGCCCGCCACAGCGCACAAAGGCGCCACAGGACGCCCA